CGATACTTTGTATAATATAGTCTCGACTTCAGATTCAAGTTTGTCTCGGTACTCAGCGACATTTTCCCGACAAATATTGGCACGGCCGGTGTATAAGGCATCACCAGTGCTGTCGTCTGCATAGCAATGAATGTTACCAGATTGCATCATATCATTGATATGCAGAAGATACAGCGTTGGTGATAACATACAGCCTTGTGGAACACCAGCGTTAATAGACTTGCAATCGGCGCATGCGCCGTCTACTACAACCTTAATGCTCAGATCAGTAAGGAAACTGGTAATCTAATTGCACAATTTCTCGGAAAGCCGACAGGAAGGGAGCTTCGAAAAAAGCGCTTTGTTCCAAACGCGATCGAAGGTCTTCGCTATGCCCAAACTAACGACTAATGTCTCCCTTGGACTCTACTGCCTCTGCCCATCTATGTAACGACGAAAACCGTATTGACGGTCACTAATCAACTGGTGATTCTCAATTTCAGTGATTCCATTATTTTGGAAAACATGGAGGTGATGTCGATAGGCCTCTAGTTGAACGGGTCTGGGCGATCGACTTTAGGGATCGGGTGGACCAAATCTATCATCCATGAATTCGAGACTACGCCATGGGAGTAGGAGTACCGGAAAAGACGCGTTAAAACCGGTGTCAACTCCGGGGCACACGTCTTCAGCACAATGTGAGAGAACCCATCAGGCCCACTCGACTTGTTGACGTCTAGGGAGAGGAGTGCTTTGTGAATCGAGGGCTGTGTAAACCGCATATCTGGCATGGAGCACTTACACCGCGGGATATTCGACGGTGTTGTACGCAAAGAGAGAGCATTTCGGACAAATCGGCCATTGAGTCTCCCTCTCTGTGCAAAGATGGAAGAGATGGTTAACAAAAGTTCCCTTGAACAGCCTTGCCAAGAGATCAGGATGCACGGGTTCTCGAAGGAAGGTGAACTAGCTTCTGGCGAGTTCTGCCAATGTCAGAGCTCTTTCACTCCTCAGCCTCCTCAGCCTCCTGCACTCACCAGACGAAACGCAGAGGCAAAGCTTCTTAATTATTTTTTTTTTATTTCACAAACATTTTGCTTTATGCTATTTACCCGTACCACTGAAGGTTTGTTTCCCACTGCCCCGTGGCAAGTCATGAGCACGTGGTGTATTGGTAATAGCACTTAAAATTACAAAATAATAATGTTGGTGGTAGAGGCGGGAAGTCGAAAATTAAGGTGACGCCAATGTCTTTAGTTTTAGGCAATCCTTGGGAGAGTTCTTTGTTCAGCAGTGTATGAGTGAGAGTGTGTGAGTTGCTTTCCAGGCATGGCACTGCACTGACAAACTAGCAAACTTTTTCATTGAAGTGAGGGTGACAAGCTAGCCAGTGGCGGCCCTAGCAAAATTTTTAGGTGGTGCGAGATCTCATAGTGGTGCCCCTCTAAATGCAAAAGCTTAGTGTTCCTATTCCATGCAGTTGCTTTTTCGTGATTTTTAATCCTCGGACTCTATCCTCAGGTGTATATGGGAGGCAAGCATAGTTGTGTCTGTCGCTCTTGCCATAGCAGTTGTTCTGCATATTCGCGTTGAAGAAATGTTGTCCATTTCGCTGGCACTACTCTGTTGCGCTCGACAACGCCACTATGCTTGCCTTGTTGTGGTGACTAGTTGTACAGATTATTTCTCATAATAAGAGTTAATAATCTTATTGACATCTTTTATTTACACTGTTGTTCTGCAGACAGTGTGAAAAAAGATAAAAGAACTACCAACAACAAACTTAAAATGGCCAGCTTTCTGGCGTATGCGCTTGCAATTTTTTTATGAATCAACTGTGCAGTCAAGTCTACAGTATCTGAACATGTTTAGATCATCCGTCATTTACATCAGATATGTCGCTTACTTTGGTTCTAGTATGAATATCCTCGTTTCTAAGACTTATCACGCAGATAAACCCCAGGTATAACCTTCTATATAGCTTGCTAAGTGCCCTGAACTTCCTCATACTACCAGCTGTGAATAAACATGTCTGCGTTGTATACATCGTCACTGGCAACACCCACTACTTGTACAATTTCGTTTTCAAGATTTGTGGTATACTTGATGAGAAGATGTGTCGTAATCTCTCGAACGCTCCCCAACCGAGTTGAATCCGTCTATTGACCTCTCGGTCGGAGTTGGACTTACGTTATTGTGTGTCATTGAGCATAGTGCTAAGGTCCTCCAGCGATTCTACTATAAGGAATATATCGTCGGCAAATCAAAGGTGAGTGATGTACGCGCCATTGATATTAATACCCTATCCTTTCCAGTCCAGTACCTTGAAAACATCTTCCAATGCAGCGGTGAAGAGTTTCGGGGTTGCCCTATAAATATATATACAAGTTGATTATTTTTATCTACTTTTTCAATTATTGCTATGTAATGTACAACGTGCTCCTTTTTTATTCTAATTTAATTGCAACTATTTGAAGAAAAGCTAAGTCATTGTACTTAATTAGAATAGAGAATAAAAAAGCTTTTCAATACTAAAATGGAGTTGTAACTTTTTGTTTTAAATCTATAACCATAGTAAAATCCATCGCTAAACTCCACAATGGCTGAACTTATTTGAATGTATTTATTAACATGTGCTACAGCTGCCGCTATGATTAAACCCGTGACTGGAAACCAGCGGTCTAATTTTAGAAGCGCGTTTTTTTAAACCTGGTAATTTTATAATATTTTTATTTCATAGATTTTCACCATAATTGTTTTTAAAATAATTAACATGGATAGGGCAATGGCGGTGGAGAAAGCACGGCGGTGGCGCCGATGCACCGCCATATCTATCTTATTCTAAGTAGGTAATGATTTGTGAGCATTCTATCCACAGAGTAATTTTTGATACAGGGAATATGATTCTATCTTAGTCCGTATTAGTCCGTAGAAATGATAACGCATTTGTAGCCTTCTTTGTTAGAAGTAACTTCGTTAGTCATTACAATTTTATGAAAAAAAGCCTCCGCCGAGGAATGCAACAAAACACGGTCCCGAGCCGCCCGCCTTACCAGACCACTGTATGTTTACCAGCGGGCTTGTGATTGATAGACTTAAATAAACTAATGAAAAAAAAAACTCATCTGTATTAAATGATAACTTTTTTAATAGATAAATTCATACGTAATATCCCACGTACGTGCTATCAACAGACAAATCGTGTGCAGTTAATTGCTAAATAATGCGTCTTAAGCCTTGTTTTAATCAATCTTGACATTACTACTTATGTAACAAATGCGTTGGAAATCCGAAGAATTATTCCCATATTTTTATTCCCATATATTTTTTGCTTAATTTAATAAAAATAATTCTAGCAACAACGCTATTATCATAACTAATATTACCTAAAACCAGTTCAGGTAAGTTTAAATGCTTGTGTTTAAATGGTTCACAATTGTATTCGAATGACGGATTCAAACCGACGATTCGACTTTTGAATTCGCGGTTCTCGCATTCGAAATACTTCATGTACCTAATTTAAAAATAAAAAATGCAATATTATCCTATATTATATCCTATATCTTTTTATGAGTGGCGGTGTAAAAATATCCACTACCACACATTGTCCGTCCGGAACGGAACCAGGGCTCCAAAGTTCCGGGCACCTGAGATTTTGAGCGAGATTGAAAAGTTCTATGGGTACACATTATCGTTGGAGCCACACGCAAGTGTGAATAACGATCTAAGGGCAAATCTTATCAGACATTATTCCTAAGATATCCCGGACGTCAGTCTAAGCGATATTAAAATGGCTCTCCAGCATCTTATAAACGACAAGACCTCGGGTGAGATCGAGAATGAAACTATAGTGGAGCTTCTGAAAGTGGGTGAAAAATAATTACTTGAAGTCCTTCAGAAGCTCTTCAATTCTGTCCTCCATGGTGACACTGCTCCAAAGGCGTGTAGCAGAAGTGCGGTGATAACGTTCCATTAAAGTACTACAGAAAGATTTCCCTTCTGAGCCGCGTCTACGTGCTGTTTTCGAGAGCCATTACGAATCGTCTCGCACGCAGACTCAACGACTTCCAGCTTCCCGAACAAGCCGGTTTTAGAAAAGAGTTTAGTACCATAGACTACATACATATCCTTTGGCAAAAACCGAAAAGTGCAGTATAGCAGAATTGCTGGAAAACCTAAGCACTATACTCAATGACCTCAATAGTGTCTCCCAACGGATAAGTATTAAGATGAACGTGGACAAAACAAAGGTAATGTATAATGTCCATGTCACATCTATGCCATTAGTTGTTGGAAACACTACACTTGAAGTCGTTGACGAGTATGTTTACCGGAGACAAATAGTCCGGACTAGCTAAGTGCAACTTCGACCGAGAGGTTAATCGACGGATTCAACTCGGTTGGGGAGCGTTCGAGAGATTACGACACATCTTCTCGTCAGGTATACCAGAAATCTTGAAAACGAAATTGTACAAGTAGTGGGTGTTGCCAGTGACGATGTATACAACGCAGACATGTTTATTCACAGCTGGTAGTATGAGGAAGCTCAGGGCGCTTAGCAAGCTATGTAGAACGTTATACCTGGGGTTTATCAGCGTGATAAGACTTAGAAACGAGGATATTCATACTAGAACCAAAGTAAGCGACATATCTGATGTAAATGACGGAGATGATCTAAACATGTTCACGGACTGCAGACTTGCTATTAAAAGACATTTTATGCTTACATTTGTTATCATTCTGTGGAATTCATTTGTTTATTTGATTGATAATGTGAAATATTATAACAGATTTGTAAGCCAAGGAAAGAGAAGAGACAAAGATGTTTTGTTAGTTTTATTGCGTTTTACGATATGCTCAACAAAGATTTCCCAGTATAAAGAATTATGAATTAAAAACAGTGCTGTTTTCAATCACTCGCATAATGGTTGAAATAAGTCAGTCTTTTGCTATAATAAATATTTACACATAAACGAAAAGAATATATTTCATAGACTGAAATTTTCGCACTAAAGGAAAAATCAGTACGAAACCGGCTTCACTCTAACGGTGGTACCATTCCTGTACTGTGCGGTGGCGACACTGATGATCCAGTCAGTGTAGCGGTCGATCCTGGTGAACACATCGGGGTAGTCATCTGTACCACAATCTTGGAAGTAGGATGAGAGACCCACGACAACTTGGTCGATGACCATCGGTGCGCCTGAATCACCTCTGCAAGTGCCCACGTCACCTTCTTCTGCAGCACATATGACAGCTGTAAATAGAACAAATTAATTATTGAATTGAAAAAAAAAATCTGCTAATTTGTGATTTTTGCAAGTTATGACAATTGAAAAGGTTGGAACCTCCTTCTTAAATATTAATAAGATTTTGATATTTATCACAGATAATATATATTCCGAATATCGCAAATCATGGCACGTATAGAAATTGTTGCTTAAATTTGGAGAATAGCAGGTTTGTCGATAGTGAACAAATGGGCCGCAGCGCTAAAGATACAAAAATTCTTAAATAGGATATATCAAGAATTATGATTTGTGTACTCGCTGTAACTGCCTCGTTGGTCTAGTGAACGTGATGGTTCGAATCCCGGGTCAGATTGAAATTAATTATTGATAAACTCTCATCACGCCTGTGCCTCAGAAAGCACGCAAGGCCATTAATCTGGTGCCTAATCTCTATCTGGTCGTGTCGGATGGCCGGTCCACAGAGTCGACAGGACGGCAATCCGGCGTACACGCTTATGCACTATAATCCTATCTGTGTAAATAGCTAATCACTTTGAGACTGGCCGCCGTGATCGAAATTCAGTCTGGAGGACAATATCTTTGTGATTTGGGTTTTTACCATAAAATTTGATTATATAAAAAGAATAAGTAATTTTTAAACTAAGCCATTTCTACATCTCGTTTTACCTGAAAATTGCCAGAAATCAGTACTAAGGCCTGATCATCAACATTTTTTTATTTCATTTATTCCCAATGTTACTTATACTCACGGTCATCAATTACAACAGTGTCCTTTTCAGCATAGGCAGCTTGGCAGTCTTCCAGAGGCACCTTCTTTAGATTGATGGTTTTCAATGTTTCAAGTTGTGGGCCAATCTCCTGAAATATAAATTTTACTGAGAGTTAGTTTAATATAAAGTAGTGAATAATATCAGGTTAGAGAAGAGAAGTGGAAGTCTAGAATAAGCCTACTCGGTTCCAGATAAAATCTAACATTTAATTAATCTAAAATTTTTTATCAAGAATTATAATAATCTAGCTGTTTCATTTCTTGAGACCCCATCTTATAGAAATAACAAAAAGATAATTTGTAGAACGAGTGGGCAACAGCAGAAGTTAGTTACGACAGTGATAAGTTTTAATGAGTCAAAAAATGAAAGAAATATTTTAACTGAAATAGTTCTCTTGGACAATTGATAGGAGTTAATTTTTAGTTTTTACTGAAAAAATAATCACTCTAGATTTCTCTTCTTGAAACAGAGGTATTTTTCAAACCAGCGCAGTGGTAGGTACGTAAATAAAAAATTGACACGCAGTTGATTTAATGTAATAATAATAATTATCTACCATATTCATATCATATCATAAAAATTAATCACTATCCGTTAGTCTCGCTAAAACTCAAAAAGGCTAGACCAATTTTTATGAAATTTTTATGTGTGATTGAATGGGTCACCTAGATGGCTTAGATTTACATTTGTACCCGTTAGGTGGAACTGTTGTCGAAATCCAGAAATCACCCGTGCGAAGCCGAGGCTAATCACGAGTTAAGAATAAAAGTATAACAACCAATTATATATTTATATATACTACTAGCTTGCCAGGCAGACGTTGTTCTGGTCTTTTCGACCCTTTGTCATGTCCTATTAAAAACCTTAAATTCACAAAAAAAAAAATGTGGATAACTCATGGACAAAAAACTATCCTATCTCTCAAGTTGGACGAAACTGCACACGGTGTGAAAATTTTATTAAAATCGGTTGAGTAGTTTAGGAGTCCATCGCAGACAAAAAACGTGACACGTAATTTATATATATTAAGATTGTATTGTCGATACCATTGAAGTGGAATGAATGAAAGCATAAAAGAATCTTGCCTGTAAAATAAAACTGTGTAAAAACCACCATTATATTACTTATATTACATTGAAGTGTTTTCCCTCACGTGTGAATTACGTTACGAGTTATATTAATGGTATATGATATCATATGGGCGTAACTTTTGTACATCTAATATTATCCAAAAACACCATCAAATTTACATTAAGGTCTATCAAAAATGCACCGCCGAAAAGAATCATTCCTCGTTTTTTATAGAATAAGGTTGACAAATGAGCGCACAGTTCATCTGATGGTAAGTGGATGCTGTGGTCCATAGATATCTACACTTATTCTCGATTAAGAATCAAAACGCAGATGCGTTGTCACCCCTGAGAGCTAAGATGGAATGCCTTGTTTTCAGTAAAAAAGGATCTCCGGATCTCTACACTAACCATACGAAACACAGCAGTATTAAGCTGCTATTTTACGCTGTTATTCTGTGAGAGAGTGGTCCTTCCCCGGTCGATTCGACCCATTCGTGCTACAACCATATACAATATAGCTGCAGCGTGGCTCAACCACGTATAAATTCGTTGATTGCTTCATAAGGGAGTTTGCATTTTATGTTATTATCAGAGATATACCCTTTTTTAGATAGACCCTTTTTTACTGCAACGAGGCATTCCATCTTAGTCCTCAGGTGACAACGCATCTACGTTTTGATTCTTAATCGAGGATAAATGTAGATGCTTATGCGCCACAGCATCATCATTACCATCAGGTGAACTGTGTGCTCGTTTGTCACCCTTTTTCTATAAAATAAAAATACTGCTGCTTATTTTTGTTTACATTTCCCTGTGTAGCCTACGATACCTGTGAAATTATATATAATACGACCATTCCATTACACTCCATAAAAGTGTACTGCTGAAAATAGGCCTCCCTGAACATAAGAGGGATTTTAGCATAGTTGGCATTCTTGAAAGAGGGCGACACCAATGGGATGACATGGGGTAGTGGACAGTTTTGCACCACCAATACACGGTACTTACATTTTACGAGCATTGTTTTATTAAAACTATTAGCGTTTAACTCGACGTACCGATTCAAAACCCCAGCTAACGACTTTCACTGACTGCCCGTCAGGAATATAGGTGCTTTGGGGCGGGAGGTATAGAATATTGATGGTGTTGGTGATGGCGAGTGGCGACTCCAGCACTACAACTGCGATGTCAGCGACACGAGGTGTCTCTTGGTAGTCAGGGTGCTTGATCACTTCACGAATGGTCACCACCACGCCGCCGGACAAGCTGTTGGTGGAACCAGCACGGACCTCCATGTTTGACAAGACGGCGCCACTGAAAAATATACCTCATTGACTCGTCCATCCTATTAAAGTCCACTGCTGGGGACATATGGAGGATAACCTCATAGGGGGGAGTATTTGCCATAGATGACACGACGGGGTTCTTAAGGATGACAGTCGTGACGCTATTTAATGCTTTTAAAGCGACATTCGTCTATTGACCTAAACCGCTCCTAACATTTTGAGCTAAAACGCCGTGGATTAAGTTAACATAAATATCTATTGATTATAGAATTGGCCGTGTACTGGCATTTAAGCATAATCACCTATTTCATATCGTCCGACAATTGTCGTAAGAGTTGACAGAGATAAAACCAACCAAGAAATGAGTAGCAGCGTATTTCTAATAACAACTAAAAATAAAAAAAACTGCCGTTGTCAACCCGTCTGCCAGGGGTATAAACTACGGCAAATACCCCCAAAAGTCCACCTCAGATCCCAATTCTGATAGATTTTCTCGTAAGGGGATATTAGGGTTGACAACCGTAGTTTTTAACGTGTTATCAAGAAAATACTGCGTCCCATCTCCTGTTTCATTTACTTGTGTCGCCTTATGGCAGTGGAAGGAAAAGGGGAGTTCTCTCCACCGAGCAAGGTGTTCTCTGCCCGGGGAGCGGCCAACACTCAGTGTGATGTTTCGGAGCTAATTTATATATACTGTGTTTGCTTCGGAATTTTGATAGCGCGATTTAGGCTTCGATGTGTTTCGCTTGTGGCGCAACGACAGCGCCGCCACAGCCTCTTACGACAGCCACGGAATGAAATGGGAGAGTCGATGTTATTACGCCGTGACTGCACGGCGATGGACAAAACATAAACAAAAATCATTATGGCACCGATTCAATAAATACAAATTCCATATATTACGAAATTCCTTTATTATAAAAATAATGATTACCACTACCGGTCGCATCGTTTACATTGATTTTGTTTATCTGTCGAGGATTTCATTCCGATTGGATTTTGTTCATTTATTTCACATAAGACCGATTAACACTTCGACAAGTACAGTAGTGAGTTTAGTTACAGGACAGTTGATAGTAAATGGTTAAGTAGACAGTAGCGTTCAAATATCTTCGTGGCAAGTTTAGTTAAAAAGTGCAATTCTATATTTTGAGGGTCGAACGCGAACACGTTGCGTTCTGTAACTTATGCACCGAGCTAAACTCGTTTAGAAATTTTTTTCGTTCCGTTTCGGAATTTCGAACGGGTCGGCCACACATATACGGAATCCCGTTTTGCCCGCAAAATTCCGTACGGAAAACTATCGTAGGTGTGTGACGGGTCATGGATTTTAGTGGAGTGCCTAAGGCCGGTCACATACATACGGAATTCCGGTTCGGAATTCCAAATCGGCTAATACTTACATTGTAATGTTTATTCTTTAAGTATTTTTTTACACAGTATAACCAGAGTAACGACATAGAACAAACGGACGGTAAAAAAATTATAGTTCAACTTACGTGAAGCAGAACGACGTGGTCAGAACGTGCCAGGAAGAGATGAGTCCGCCAACGCATCTCTGGATTGTAATGCCGGGACCAGGGTACCAGTAGACTAAAGCTACGATGTAAGGGAAATCTTCGATGGTAGTGGGAGTTCCACCTACAATTCTGGTGTCAGGAGCTGCTATCACTGTTAAAAGTAAATAACGTAAATTTTTCTCGTTTCTTAGCAGTTCAATTAGAGTGTTCCAAATTTCAGTTTCGTTTAACTTGGCGACTGTAAGTTGTAGCAATCATCGCAAACAATATCTAATACAGCCATCCTAATTCTAGAGGATGAAAGTTAATTAAAGTTATAGCTTAAAGTTTGTAAGAATTATTTCGCCCATATCCGCTCAGTGACATAAAATGATGTGTCTCACCTGTAAGCCAAGCCATGCGCACTTTTGATCGTACAATACCTACCTTACGTCCGCCAAGCAGTGATCTAATTTGATCAGAATTATGTAAACGTGTGTACCTATGAAAAAACTATTTTTTCGTTTTAAACAAAACCAAAGACACTATGCAATAGATAATAGTATCAAAGACAAAGATATGCTCTTTTATTTTAAACCATAACCTGGCAATGTTTCTTAGAAAAAAAAAATCACTCTGAACTTTCGGCCATTCGGCGTTCCACGTGTCGTTTTGATGAAGGTGCTCCGTCTTTTTTATAGAATTTTATATTTGTGTCTGGACTAAAAACGAAAGTATTATACTTTTTTATATTCCTTGTAATATAGTGAACACGTAGATATATAATTTGTGGTATAAAAAGTGAAAAGTAAATTGTCAAAAGTGCTTAAAAATCTGGAAGGCCCATTATGGCGGCTGGGTCATAAATGTGTTATTTTTCAAATTCTCATTTATTTTTAGTGTAAAATGTAAGTAAAAATAGTTTTCTTACATATTTCAAATAACTTGACGTTGTATTTATTTCAAATTCACACAAAACTATTTTAGAAATATTGTTCTAAATGTCACACAGATAAAATATTATTATTTTTTTTTTATTTTTTTAATATTTTTTTGGTATGAGTAACGAATGGAAACACATAAAACATAAAAATATACATATTTCCAAACATTTTCATATAAATTTCTCTAAAAACAAAAGTGTAGAATTCAAATTAGTAGTAATTTTGTCACTAAAATTGAAGTATTACCACTACTATGTTACACAGGGTAATTTACGTATTTTATTACAATTTCTAGCAACCAAAAATAATTTTATTCGATAGTTTATACATTCAACAAGAATTCCTGTAAGTTTTATCCATAAATATTGTCTCAAAGTGAAAATATAGCAAAATTTGCAATATAGCAAAAAATTTGCTAATTTTCAAATTTTCCCCGCCATTACGGTCCCGAGCGAACGGGAGTATAACATGTCGCGCGCTCGCTTGGCGAACAGGTAGAGCACCTCCTGCCCTCCCTCAATTGCGTGCGCTATCCCCGTCACCACTCATTCCAGCACCACTACTCCTACCACTACACTAGGAAAGACACACCACTGACGATAATACGACACGTGTTTCGCCTATAGACGAAGCATCCTCAAGTGAAGTAGACTCTGCGGTGGCTGACCGCTACGTGAGCGGCTAACCAAAACAGCTGCAAAAATCGATAGCTGTCTAATTTAATTCAACATTCTTCGTAAAAATCCTGCTCTTTTCATACATTCTAGGTGTAAGGTCTACTTTTCCGTCAAGAAGTCCACCTAGGTACGTACCACCTTCTTAAATTATGTTCTGTTCTGAAGAGCAGCAGAAGAAGAGAGCCAGTATATTATTTACAAGCTGTGCGGTATTCCCTCTCAATCCTCAGAGATGAAAACGCATCTATAGCTTTTTTTGATAGAAGTTGGTTGCAGGTGTTCATGGGCTGAAGTAGCCTTTTTTAAATCCGTTTCTCTAATTCTTCTGCTGGTTATGGTTTAAGGTACATATAAGTATGGTTTAAGGTTTAAGTATAAAGTCTCACAATATTATTTATTGATCATCATATAGAACTTTCTACCAAATCACTTTATTTAAGGTTTAAGTATAAAGTCTCACATATTATTTTGATCATCATATAGTACTTTATTTGGTTTAGTATAAAGTCTCATTTATTTTGATCATCTATGACTTTCACCAAATCATTTTTAAGGTTTAAGTAGTCTTTTTATGATCATCTAAGCTTTCATCTTTATTTAAGACGAATTTAGTCAGATTATGGTTATTCATCATTTTTCAAGACAAGATGCCAGTCCTGGTGTTCCCATTTGTTGTAGTGACAGTGTAAGAATATCATTTATTATAATTTCTAAAAAATTTAAAGCTAACTTACCAGCGCAGGCAAGGGTAAGCGCGAGGCACAGTGCTTTGATCGCCATAGTTCTTTCTGTACCAACTAGTCTACGGACAACGATAAGGAAGTCTAACAGATATACTCAATCGTATTTATATTCAGCTACTGTTTCGTTTCATTCATACCAATGTATACAGGATGTCTAAAAATGACAACTGTAATATAATATATAATGCGACTAAAGATGCATTTCTGACAAAATCATATAAATAAACCCTTTATCATGTCTTATTAAATATCCTTAAATACGCAAAAAAATATTGTGGGTCACTCATGGGCAAAAAAACTATCCTATCTCTCAAGTTGGACCAAACTGCACACGGTGTGCAAATTTGATTAAAATCTGTTAAGTAGTTCAGAAGTACATTGCATACAAACAACGTGACACGTAATTTATATATATTAAGATGAAATATTTACAAGGAGAATATATATTATAATAATTTTGATTTGTTGTATTTACACGAACACAAGTTTTACGGATTTTATCACGTTTAATTTACGTGGTAGAGCCATTCTGCAGTTATATTAGTAGTATAGTTGTAGCACGAACGGGTCGGCTCGACCGGGGAAGGACCACGCTCTCACAGAATACCAGCGTGAAATAGTAGCTTAATGCTGCTGTATTTCGTATGGTGAGTGTAGAGAACCGGAGACCCTTTTTACTGGAAACGAGGCATTCCATCTCAGTCCTCACGGGTGACAACGCATCTGCATTTTGATTTTTAATGGAGGATAGATGTAGATGTCTATGGGCCGCAGCAACCACTTACCATCAGGTGGACTGTGTGCTCGTTTGTCACCCTATTCTATAAAATAAATAAAAAAAATAAATAACTTATCAAGGAATTACTTAACTTGTAAATAGGATGCACAGAATACAGTAATACAAACACACAATCCACAGAATGAGAAGATAGTATGGCCTATAGATTTTTACGTCTATTCTCGACTAAGAATGAAACTGCAGATGGGCTATTATTCCAAAAAATTTAGATACAATGTTTTTGCCTATCAAAGTCCAAGTTCGTTGAACCAAGGCCTTCCCAAAATATTGCCTCATAGGATTTTTGCTATAGTTGCCACGCTTGGCATATTTTTAGAGGTTATTAAGAAGTTGTTGCTCCTGGTTCCTGTTTCTCTCTACAGTATCCCTGAGTACTGAGAAGGAATGCCTCGTTAGCAGTACAAGTTATTTCTCGTAACCATGCAAAGTAGCAGCATGCATTACTTTCTCTGTCCCATACTCGTACCGAAAAAAAAATAGACAAACAACGTATAGAAATGTACGTAGACATTCAAGTGAACGTACGTAACGTAACAGTTCACAACTACACAAGTTGGAGCTGCTGGACGTACACTTACGCACGTAAAACCATTTTAATATTTCCAAATAATTTTAGATTCATTATGTGTGCTTGTTCTTACAATATCTTGAGCATGGCTTTGGCTTAGTTCAGACATCACTTAAAATGTACACAGCGCTCCGCCTTCGCAATCCGTATCCGTCTTCACGCAATATCTTTCTTTGTTGTTCTCAGGTCCCATTAATAAGCGGCAGTCACGCTGCAGGTAACATATTGTTACGAGCTTAGGGTTCGTGACAGTAAAAACTGCCGATAGAATTACCAAAATTGACACTTTAACTACCGAACACCAATTAAAACTAATAAACACTAATAATTATTCACACTTAACACTATAGTTCACTTTATTTCACTCCTAAGTCCTCATTTGTATCGCCAATTCAATACTGCCCCGGTCGCGGCCCTAAACGGCTTTATATGGGCCTTTTCCACCGAAACATCTAGAATATTCTGGCAAATATCGGTGCCGACCGACTAGCTGTAGAAAATTCGAGTGTAGAGTTTCCTAGAAAGCCTAGTTCTTCTATTCGATACTAGATGGCGATGGAGGTGGAAATTTCTAGCATGGCATTTTCTAGAAAGATCTCCTCGCTCTGCTACCCAACACTAGATGGCGCTAGGGGCATTAATTATGGCTTGCAACAATACATACAATAGATAACATACATAATATGTATTATTATATTGTAAGTTTTGAAGAAACGGTTTAAAACGGTCAAAAAGCTACAATTACCAGCCGCCTGTAAGCAGCCGAGAGCGAACATGCAATTCATTTAATATGAGATTGCCATAAATTGCGTACTTAGATGAGGAAGGTTTTTTTCACTATTCTAAGCCAGCGCTTAACTACAATCTCACCTGATGGTATGTGGTTTGTAGCCTAAGATGGTGAAGCGCACTGACTAACAAAAGCCTAATTATTGTTGCCTAACTATGGTAATAGTTATTCTCTTAGAAAATCTTTCAAGGGTGACTATAACTAGTCACCCTAGTGATAAGAGGATGCAATGGCATAGTGTTATACGTGGAGTAAACTGAAAGTTTTGTGTAACACTTACATAAAACATTTTTATGTAAACTAATATATTTACTGCAAAGATACCTACTGTGGCACTACCAACATTGTGCACCTAGTAAGTAAACAACTAATATGTCTTTTTGTCCAAATAACCGAGGGTATTCAAAGAAATTTTGTTGGTGGTTACGTAAGGGAGTCTATTATTACCCTATTTCATCCCGTGGGTATGGTAAGCCGACCATAGGTGACTCTAGAAAAATGTTATGGCTTCCGATAGATGGCGGTACTAGCATCCCGTTTACACTAAGCTTAAATTACCCAAACCTGCTCTGGTACTGCGATCGTTAAGTCTGCCAAGCGAGATTTTTTTTACTAGAATATATAGTGACAAATGAGCAAACAGTCGACAATGATAAGTGGATGCTGTAGCCCATAGACATCTACATCTATCCTCGATTAGAATCAAAATGCAGATGCGTTGTCACCCGTGAGTACTAAGATGGAATGCCACGTTTCCAGTAAAAAAGGGTCTCCGGATCTCTACACTCACCATACAAAACACAGCAGTATTAAGCTGCGATTTTACGCTGGTATTCTGATGATCAGGGCAAATCCTTCGTGCAACGGAAGAAGTCTACGACCAGCTGTCGACTTATAAGGTTAATAAAGAAATAATGAAAATAATATAGTCAATGATACTTTTTTTAATTAATCCAGTCCATTACCACCCTTTTTCCTATTTCTGCCACCAAGCCGCTGGACTTTCCATTGCTGCACATAGGCCTCATTAGGATAACAATGATAGAGAAGATGCGTATATAATATTTTTCATATATTATAAGCATTTAAGGTGAAAGCTCCAGGGTAGCCCGCGAAAATTTCAAATTTTCTTACGTGTTTTGCAATTGGTAGGTCTGTGTGAGATTGTATGTTTAAGAAAATATGATTCGCGAACGTAACAAGTATGTTTAGAGAATTATTATTATTAAATTCACCAATACAATTCTCTAAGTTCATATAATTCCATTGAATGAGTTTGAGTCATACAATGGAATTATACGAACTAAGAGGGTTGTATTGATGATTATAATTCTGTAAATACATAATCGTTACGGTCGCGAATCATATTTTTTCAACATACAGCTTGACATTGACCATCAAATTACATAAACGTAAGAAAACTTAAATTTCGCGGGCTACCCGCTTTCACCTTAATAGGTTTCGATTAAAGCGCCCCTAAAAGACATAAAATACGTACTTAAAAATAATTATTTCTACCTAAGGAAGAAAGCGTGTAATAGCTAAAAACTCTCGCTGTATATGTTTAATACCTACCTACAGAGATAATTTTTAGCACTAATCTCACACGTACGTTTTATCTCTTAAATTAAGTATTACAAGCAGTGATTAGTTCATTTTATTTTTTAATCGGGTAATTAATTAATTTCCGCTGCAACATACTGATAAATTATTATTAATTTTAAAATGTTCAATTTTGATCATAATCATTACAGCCCTTCACAAATCCACTGCTGAACATAGGCCTCCCCCAGGTAATGCCACAAAGGACGGTCCTGAGTCACCTGCACCCATCGACTTCCTTCATCTCTTACCAGGTCGTCACTCCATTTAGTGGGAGGAGGCCGACCTAAACGTCGTTTATCAGTAAGAGGCTGCCGCTCGAGAATCTTTCGTCCCCATCGGTTCTCAGACTGAATACAGCTGAAGTTATATAACACAGTAAGTTAACACAGGTCCGTGGCGCAGTGGCTTAGATTACTATTGTATTGTATTAGCTTGAGTTGTAGCGACCGCGGCTTTGAATCCCGCGTTTCAACGGAGGCTAGCCATCGGTGCGAGACAGCATTATAGTGCCCAAGTGTATGCGCAAGCACAGGCGCACTCTCTATTCCCTCACTCTCGTAATCCGATGGGACAGTAATCCGACACGACCGGAAGAGAGATCAGGCGCAGGACCAACGGCTTTACGTGCTTTCCGAGGCACGGGGGTGAGACATCGCCAACTTCCTGACTCCGGGGAGAATTCCTCCTGAGAATTTCTTGATAGAAAAACTCTGATTTTTTGACCCGACCCAGGATTGTGCATAGATAATTTAAACAAATATTAAAGAGAGCAGGAGCGAATTTACTGCCTTGTAGAACTTCGTAAATACAGACAGCTTCGGTGCTCATATAATTTTCTATTTTAGTCTGTTATGACCTTGGATTTAGATAGTCTGAAAAACAATTTAACGCAGTTCCTCTAATACCAACATTTTCTAGTCTCTGTAATAGAATTGGATGGGAGACTGTATCAAAGGCTTTTTGTAGGTCGAGAAAAACTGCAATGCTTTTCTGGCCTTTATCTAAGTATTCTGTAATTAGGGATATTAATTTTAATACCGCATCTTCTGTTGATCTATTTCATCGAAATCCATTTTGATATAATTCCAAGTAGCCTGATAATTACCAATTCCGTAGCCAAGTTGACATCACTTGATATATAGAGGTCCTCCCACGATTGTTTGTTAAGGTCATGGCTCATTTTTTCAAAATCCATAGACATTTTATAACAAGTATTTTATTAATGATCATGGATGTACTTTCTATATATAGTGAAATAGGTGAGTGGTCTGTTAG